ACAAAATTTTGGAATCAAAATGGCTCCACCCCCCCCCCCCCCCATTGACCAATAAGATTTGCTGCTAAGGCTAATTTCACACTGATCCGCGGCAAAAACGCATATGTGTTTTTGACACTTTTTACCATGTTTTCACCATGTGCTAGGACACATGACTCAAAAATGACACCAAAAACGCAAAGCAGGTGCATTTTTTATGTGTCTTCCATTGATTTCAATAGGGAGGTGCATATTTGGTGTGTTTTTTTGTCTTTACCAGCAAACCAGCAAGCAGGACTATGAAAAATGAACCAGACCCACATTTGATCAGTGTGAAGAGTTCCAGAGGAATACATGGCCACACGTTAGGTATTGTTCACACCTATGCGTTTTTTAGTGCATTTTGCAGAAACTAACTACAGTCCATTTAACATGGTATCCTATGGGACATATTCACATTGATGCGTTTTCAGCCGCTGCATTTTTGGAGAGGGTCAAAGATTTTTTTCCTGTAGCAAATTGCAACATGCATAGGTGTGAATCAGGCCTTAGGCTGCTTTCACACTAAATGGTTTTTCTTCCACTTTTGCTTTACAAAAAAAAAAAGCGGAAGAACAACAGATCAGTGTGAAAGCAACCTAACTTCAGATTTTCTGAATTTCAAGAAGGATTCAACAAACCTCAGCCAGGTGAAACTGGACAGATTTACTGCTCCCTAATTCTAACTTTTAAAGGGCGCAAACTACTCCATTGACATCCCTCCTCCTAAGGGGAGGGAGCAGAACCACCATCAGCTCCCTCAGAGATCAGCAACACAAGGGACAAAATATACCATGAAGGAGATGTCAGATTTCATGGCTTTTCCTACTACCATCTTCTAGGACAGGGGTGTCAAACTGGCGACCCTCCAGCTGTTGCCAAATTACAAGTCCCATGAGGCATTGCAAGGCTGACAGTTACAAGCATTACTCCCAAAGGCAGAGGCACTATGGGACTTTGGCCTTTTTTTCTTGGGAGCCAAAGACCTTACAGTGTCACCTATCACTTTTCCATTTTAAATGTGATACATTTGGCTACTGTCTCCATTTCATGTGCATCAAACTTGGCTTATTTATAACCACAAAATTGTCTGCTGTTTCAGCTAAAATATTTCTAGATTGTGACAGGATGCCAGATTTCTTGGCCTAGCCTTCCTAGATTCCAGAACCTCCTCTTATCCACTGGAGAGTCATAACTACTCCCACTTACGAGGGAAGGCACAGAACCACCCTTACCCACCTTGGGAGGGCCCACAGCACCAGGACACCATATACCATTGAAGGGATGGCAGATATCACAGTCTTCTTGTCCCATGCTCCAGGATTGCACCTCAAAACACCTCGGGTTACTCAGCGCCCCCCAACTCAGGGGAAGGCAAAACCACCACACCTATCCTTGACACCACAACAACCAAGGAATCCAAATATTATAGAGGGCACTACATATTTTGCTGTTTACCCTTCCCACTTTCCATTACCTCCTCCCACCACTTTTAGGGGACTAAATTGTTATGATTATCTCCGAACACTTCACAGGGCATGGGGTGCTGAATGGTGGCCCAATCTGCACAAAGGTGTGTGTTTGCTATTGTCAAGACATAATATATGTGAATTATACCAGACAGAACAGTTACTGAGAAATTATTCAACTCATTGTATATGCTGTTTGGTATACACTATTTCCAGAGGGTAATACACTTTAAACTTTGTAAGTTTAAGAACTTATCAAGAAGTAACACCTGCTTGAGATTGAGCGTTCTTCGTTGTTTCAGTTCCTGTGGGTTTTATTTAACTGACTTGGCAACAGCTGTAAAATGAATTGTTTTTGTCACTGCAGTCAGTGTAGTATATAAAACTCTTGTGCATAAAAGCAAAGGTAAAAATAGCTAACAAGCAAATAGGATGCAGACCCACACCTACAGTTACAGAGGTGGTTACAGGTGACCCCGCTCCAATACTGGGCACCTGCTGCGGAGGGTATTCCTAAGCATCCAGGACATCACCACTGCAGTCCATTGGTTGCTCTCTCCAGTCTCCAGATGTAAACAGCAACACCAATGAAGTGGACAACTCTGGACAAGGGTCCGATCCCACTTTCCTGCATAACGACTTCTTTTCTAAGGTAATGAGAGGGGTGACAGCCAGGACTTCTTTAAAAATTGATTGGACCCTGGGCAAACATTTTCTTCCCCCCCCCATGCCATATTGCAAAATTACACAGGACCCCCCACCATATTACCCTCAATATTACACAGGACCCCGCCTCCCATACTACCCCCATTATTACACAGGAGCCCCTCTCCCATACTACCCCTATTATTACATGTCCCCTTCCACCTTACTACCCCCATGCTTGCACAGGACCTCCCCTCCCCATACTACCCCTATAATTACACAGGACCCCCTCCCTCATATAACCCCCATCATTAAACAGGACCCTCCCCCTCATATAACCCCCATCATTACACAGGACCCCCTCCTCCATACTACCCCCCATCATTATACAGGACCACCTCCCCCATACTACCCCCATAATTACACAGCACCCCCTCCTCCATACTACCCCCATCATTACACTGGACCCCTCCCTCATACTACCCCCCATGCTTGCACAGGAACTTCCCTCCCTCATACTACCCACATCAGTACACAGGACCCCCTCCCTCATATAACCCCCATCATTACACAGAACTCCCTTCCCCATACGACCCCCATTATTACACTGGAACTCCTCCTCCATACTACCCCTCATCATTATACAGGACCACCTCCCCCATATTACCCCCCATCATTACACAGCACCCCCTCCCCCATACTACCCCCATCATTACACTGGACCCCTCTCTCATACTGCCCCCCATGCTTGCACAGGACCCCCCACCTCCCTCATACTACCCCCATCCTTACACAGGACCTCCTCCCTCATATAACCCCCATCATTACACAGGACCCCTTCCCCATACTACCTCCCATGCTTGCACAGGAACCCCCCTACCCAATACTACCCACATCATTACAAAGGACCCCCCCATACTACCCACATCATTACACAGGACCCCTTCCCTCATATAACCCCCATCATTACACAGGACCCCCTCCTCCATACTACCCCCCATCATTACACAGGATCCACTCCCCCATACTACTCCCCATCATTACACAGGACCCATTCCCCATACTGCCCCCCATGCCTGCACAGGAACCCCCCTCCCCCATACTACCCACATCATTACACAGGACCCCCCCTCCCCATACAACCCACATCATTACATAGCACCCCCCTCCTCATATAACACCCATCATTACACAGGACCCCCCCTCCTCCATACTACCCCCATCATTACACAGAAACACTTCCCCCATACTATCCCCATCATTGCACAGGACCCCTCCCCCATATTACCCCCCATCATTACACAGCACCCCCTCCCCCATACTACACAGGACCCTCCCCCTCATATTACCCCCAACATTACATAGGACCCCCTCCTCCATACTACCCCCATTATTACACAGGACCACCTCCCCCATATTACCCCCATCATTACACAGCACCCCTCCCCCATACTACCCCCATCATTACACTGGATCCCCCCTCTCTCATACTATCCCCTTATGCTTCCACAGGACCCCCCCTCCCTCATACTACCCCCATCATTACACAGGACCCCTTCCCCCATATTACCCCTCATGCTTGCACAGGAATTCCCCTCCCCCATACTAACCACATCATTACACAGGACCCCCCCCCCCCATACTGCCCACATCATTACACAGAACCCCCTCCCTCATATAACCCTCATCATTACACAGGACCCCCTCCTCCATACTACCCTCCATCATTACACAGAACCCACACTCCCCCATACTACCCCCCATGCTTGCACAGGAACCCCCCTCCCCCATACTACTCACATCATTACACAGGACCCTCCCATACTACCCACATCATTACACAGGCCCCCTCCCTCATATAACCCCCATCATTACACAGGACCCCCTCCCTCATATAACCCCCATCATTACACAGGACCCCCTCCTCCATACTACCCCCTTATCATTAGACAGGACACCCTCCCCTCCCTCCACAGACCCCCTGCATTACCCCCCCCCCCCCCCACCCCCCAAGTGGTCTCACAGTGTCCATAAAATGTCAGGAAAAAACACCAAAGACACCCTACTGAACAATGAAGTTCTTCAGCGGGTCGATGGACTGAAGCTTGTTGGACATGATAAGAGAGAGGGGTCAGTGTGACTGTGCCAAGGACTGACAGGTATTCTTCCCGGACAAGGTGGCCAATGACTGCACAGGCTGCAGACATAACACCCAACCAATCATCAGTGCCCCCAACATTCAATTCTGCCCTCATCTCCTGAGTGATAACCAAATACACTTATCTTTTTGCAGGTAGCGCGGTCTCAAGGGGCAGCCTAGTTGCTTTGGGCCCCACAGTTTCCCCTTTTGCCCCATGTTAAAGACAGTCCTGGTGACAACTACAACCTCCCCCTGCCACTGTAAAGTCTGTGTCTGCTATGAACTTGAACTGGGCAATGAGATTTGATCTTATTGGATACCCCATGCACTGCTTCAATTCCTTCATACTTGGGAGAATCAACAATCAGCCTCACCAATCCATCCTGATTGGCCATAATCAATATATTCAATATATTTCAAAATATATTTCAATAAATATATATAAATATATATTATATATATATATATATATATATATACCGTATTTTCCGCTCCATAAGACACACCTGACCATAAGACGCACCTAGGTTTTAGAGGCGGAAAACAAGAAAAAAAATATTATGAACCAATGGACTGCAGACATAGTACAGGAGATGACCAGAGACTGCAGACATAGTACAGGAGATGACCAGAGACTGCAGACATAGTACAAGAGATGACCAGAGACTGCGGACACAGTACAAGAGATGACCAGAGACTGCGGACACAATACAGGAGATGACCAGAGACTGTGGACACAGTATAGGAGAGGACCAGAGACCAGACATACTACAGGAGATGACCAGAGACTGCAGACAGTACAGGAGATGACCAGAGACTGCAGACATACTACAGGAGATGACCAGAGACTGCAGACATACTACAGGAGATGACCAGAGACTGCGGACACAGTACAGGAGATGACCAAAGACTGCAGACAGTACAGGAGATGACCAGAGACTGCGGACAGTATAGGGGATGACCAAGAGACAGACACTGCGGACAGTATAGGGGATACCAAGAGACTGCGGACAGTACAGGGGATGACCAGAGACTGCGGACAGTACAGGCGATGACCAGAGACTGCGGACAGTACAGGGGATGACCAAGAGACTGTGGACAGTACAGGGGATGACCAAGAGACTGCGGACAGTGCAGGGGGTGACCAGAGACTGCGGACATGGTGAAGGAAATGACCAGAGACTGCGGACAGTGCAGGGGATGACCAGAGACTGTGGACAGTACAGGGGATGACCAAGAGACTGTGGACAGTACAGGGGATGACCAAGAGACTGCGGACAGTGCAGGGGGTGACCAGAGACTGCGGACATGGTGAAGGAAATGACCAGAGACTGCGGACAGTGCAGGGGATGACCAGAGACTGCGGACAGTGCAGGGGATGAGCAGAGACTGCGGACAGTACAGGAGATGACCAGAGACTGCGGACAGTATAGGGGATGACCAAGAGACTGCGGACAGTACAGGGGATGACCAAGAGACTGCAGACAGTACAGGGGATGACCAAGAAACTGCGGACAGTACAGGGGATGACCAAGAGACTGTGGACAGTACAGGGGATGACCAGGAGACTGCGGACAGTACAGGGGATGACCAAGAGACTGCGGACAGTAGAGGGGATGACCAAGAGACTGCGGACAGTGCAGGAGATGACCAGAGACTGCGGACAGTACAGGCAATGACCAGAGACTGATATTTTTTTTTTTAAAGATGAAATGACAAACATGTCTATACTTACCTGCTGTGTGCAGTGGTTTTGCACAGAGCAGCCCCAATCCTCCTCTTCTCAGGTCCTCAGCCGCGCTTTTGGCCCCTCCCTCCTGTCGGGTGCCCCCACAGCAACAGCTTGCTATAATTTTTAAGTTTATTCTCTGCATCTGGAAGTAGTGGATATGTTCTTAAGGGTGCCATTTATGTATGGATGTCATCAGTTTTTGTATCTAAATCGTTTGTTTCCGATATTCCTGGATGAACAATGCAATCATAGTGTCAGAACATTGTTTCAAATTTTTTTTCCCATGCATCTTTGAAAACCAGATCAATACTATTAAAAGATGGAAATATTTCCCCAAAAGGGTTGATGCCTTCCTTCAAGTAACTTTCAAAAGACCTTATGTGCCAAAAAAGGAGGGATTTTCTTTCTAGAATGTGACTGAGATTGAAAAAAACGGCAGAGATTTCTGATTTAATGGACTCGTTCTGCCCAACGTCCTGATAGAGGTTGGACATAAAATCGTCCCATTCCTTTCCCTGATGTTCTGCCATTTGAAAAATGTAGGGAGTATGGATTTGTCGTCTAAATTCACCTGGCTCAAATAAAAGGGGAAAGCAGAAAAAGCAGGTATTTACTACCTAAATAGAAACAACAAAATGATATGAGCCTAGTGTTACAGAGCAAGTGGTAACTGCCAACATCCCCAAACTATACATACGACCTAGAAGGTAGGTGAGAATCTTCCTGGGACTTTAACAGCAGAAAAATGAAAAAGGTATCCAAAAGACCAAATGTCAATTTTTATTCATATAAAGATTTTGGCTGAAGGACCAGTAAAACCTGATAATGGATCAAGTACAATTGCACATACAATACAAAAGGCTGAGTATTCAATATATACCCTTGTGGAATACACATACACCGATATACATAAATATATCTTGGTTGATAGCGGTGTGTTCTTCCAATAACTCCCAACATGTTTCAGAACAAGGTTCCTTCTTCAGGGGAACAGTTGGGTATAGCAATGCTGTAGTTCAACAAATAAAACATCAATAGTGTACAAAGGAAGAATATTTGAAAAAGTAAATTACATAGGTGTAAATTCAAGAAGTACAAATACAACAGATCCATATATACATATGCTCAGTAAGGTATACACTTACAATCAATGTGAATGTCAGTATGACCATATCCAATACTGGTAAGAACAACCCACAAAAAGAGGGGAGAAAGGGTTGGTGTATACCTAGACTCTCTGGGAGTTCGCCAACAATGCCCCCACAGTCCACCTGTCAGGAATGGTCTTATCTCTGGTAGTGCTGGGGCTTACCTGCCTTGTGGGCTGCAGTACCAATGCTGGCCAGCGGGTGCTCTCAGCAGCCAGTGTCTCACTCCTGCAATCAGGCCATCACCTGAGGCTGATTGCAGGAGGTGTATTTAAGCAGGACCAGGCCTGCAGGCAGTGCCTTGGTGTATTGCTCCCTTGTGCCCTGTATCCTGCCTGCCTGACTCTCTGCTTTGATCCTGACTCCGCATGAACTCTGCCTGCACCGACCTCAGCTACTCCTGACCACTCTCCTGCCTGCTCCTTGTACTTTGTCTGCCCATTAGCTACCGACTCGGCCTGCCCAACTACGTTTGGTGTTGTACATATTGTTATCTGTTGGAGGTTTGGTTTTGTTTGCATTGTGTTTATGTTTAGCCTTGCACTGCGTTTATGTATTGTTTAGCCTTTAATAAATTGTATTGTTTTATACTATACCTGAAGTCTGCGTTTCCCTGTGTCGGTCCACACATTTCGGGTCATACCCAGATCCCTGACACCACCACACAACTACAAGGGTCCCGAGAGGCCACCACATGGATATCTGGCCAGTCTGTATGAGGTGTATAAGAAGGACTACAATTATCTAACAAAGTTTTACTTAAATAGCACACATAAATAGTAGTAGATTCCAAAAAATAATAAACAAAAGATAAAAAGGACTGCATAGCCATAGAAGCCCTATATAAGAGCAACAATGCGTTTCTAGGCAGTAAAGCCACGCTAAGCAAGTGTAGAAAGTATTTTACCCACTGAATGTGGAAAAGTAGTTGTCAATGTTAGCAGGTGTCCCGCCATGTAGTCAAATGCTCCAAGGTTGAGTAGTACATATATGTGAGCAGAATGCCTCACAAAATGGCCAATCTAGTCCCTGGGTGAAAGAAGTACACTCACCGCTCAGGCGCAGCAGGTGCGGCATGCATCATGGAATCCTCCGGCATGGCGGCACGTGGCATCGCCCTGCCCCAAGGTGCGTGGTAACATCACGCTTCACCATGCCGCCGACACGCACGGCACGGCGTGACTGAGGTGGCAGGGTGCAGGAGGATGCCACAAGGGCGCGATTGAGGCCCCGCAGCCCATGAGGAGAGGGAGTCCTGGGATAGCTGAGAGGGGGCTTAGGTGAGTATTAGGGGGCTGGGCAGATGCTGCACACAGAAGGTTTTTTACCTTCATGATAGAACGCACGAAGGTAAAAACCTTGAGCCTTTAGAGCTACTTTAAACCCAACAGCAGCTATGAATACTAGATACAAACAGTACAATAGGCACCTGGGAACAACAGGACTTTGTGTACTGTATTTAAACCCAGAAGGAAAAATGTAATATATTGCAGCTTGCCAATACTAGATTTGATGGCTACAAAAATGTTCATTTTTTTAGCCTTTTATTTTTAAATATTTTTACCCCGTGACAGTTACATGCTTCCTGTCTTAGGTTGACAACGCTCACTCACTCTACTGTATCTAGACCAGGCGTAGGCAACTGTGGCCCTTCAGCTATTGTAGAACTACAAGTCCCATGAGGCATTGCAAAACTGACAGTTACAAGCATGACTCCCAAAGGCAGAGGCATGATGGGACTTGTAGTTCACCAACAGCTGGAGGGCCACAGTTGACCTCCCCTGATCTAGACAACAGAAACAGGACAGGACAACTGAAGCCTCCCACTCTCCATTTCTTCATTACATAAATAGGAGGGGTTCTGTATTCTTCAGGACAATGCATGCGACTGATAAGAATGCAGCACAGGAAGCCAGCACAGGAAGTTATCAGCAGAAAGATTGCAGTCTAGAATAGATCAGCAGATATTTTTTTGCACACATCAAAAAAGATTGAACAAAACACTTTCAATGTTATATATATATATATATATATATATATATAGGCGTACCTCGGTTTACGAACGCCTCGGTTAACGTAATTTTTGGTTTACGAATGAAAAAATCCATTGAAAGTAATGCCTCAGTTTACAAATTTTTTTCGCAATATGAAGCAAGTTTCCCCAGGATGTATTGCGCCTGGGAGGTTTATAGAGCTGGCCCCGTGCCTTTAAAGTGCACTTTATAAAGAGTTTTGAACAGATAAGACTTTTCTTTTTTATTTTTTTCTGACCTCCAGAAACAGATTAATTGGGTTTTCAATGCATTTACAAATTTGTTTTGCAATATGAAGCAAGTTTCCACAGGATGCATTGCACTTGGGAGGTTTATAGTGCCAGCCCCGTTCATGCTGGAGTCTGTGGGTAGCATGTGGCTTCGAGTGTGGAGGTGTTGGAGTGGTTTTTGCATCGAGTTTTGGAGCCATTCTGAAAATTTTTAATCATGTCCCTGTACAGTATTTATGCCTTTAAATTGCACTTTATAAAGAGTTTTGAACAGATAAAAGATCCAAAATAGAAGGGACAAGCACAAAACTTTTTATTGTACGATACCAGATCGTACAGTTTTTGTTTAACCACTACAGTAGTCATCCGAAAATACAATACAAATACATTACATTCTTCAGATTTTTTGTTACGTCGTTAAATAATTTTTGTAACTTTAGTAATCTCTTCACATTTGATATGAGACTAGCATGCTGAAAAAAAAAAACGGACAACCATTCGTGTTTCAGTTGAATCATAAGAATCAGCCAAAGTTCTAACACTGGGTGGCCTGCCAGCTCAACAAAAGTTAATTATTCAATCAACTTTTGCTGACAAAGCCAAGACGAAAATTATCCCCCTAAGCCCTCATGCACACTAGACGTTTTGATAATGCTGGTAATGTTAGCTGTGTAAAGTCACATTAAAAACGTGAGTTTTTCAGCTTTTTTTAGCATTTTTGCATTAACAATTAGCGATGTTGTGCCGTGATTAGTGGCATTTTCCCGCGTTTGCGTTTTTTTTTTTAGCATTTTTTACCAAAGTCCCAAAACATTGGTTTGCGGCGTTTTTACAGCATTTTGCCGGGTTTTTTCAGCATTAGAGCATTTTTACAGCTAAAAAAAACTCCTCTAAAGACCCACTAGTCCTGTTTTTTTTTCCAGCCAAAAAACAT